ACAGATAAGTAGTAGAAACTTTGGAGAAGTGAAGAATTTGAAGTAAAGAATCAAGTTTTTATTCTAGCAAGAAGGAGGTAATTTACTTATCTTAAAGTTACATGCTTAAGTTCATGTTTTGATAATAAGTTTACATGTTTATAAGTATGTATATCATGATATAGAAGTTAAGTTTATAACTGATTCTATGAATATAAAGAGTTAAAGTTGTTCAAGATCAATTATATGATATATGTACTTGATTTGATGAGATGTGGATAAAGATATGAATAAGCTGGAAGAGTATGATTTAAATGAATGATTATTATGTAAAAGAGGAGTACATGAAAATAAGAATTAAGAGATTTGGCAAAATATAGCTTGAGTTATGAATTTTTAAAGATGAACAAGTAAGATGAAGTTTATGTTCACTATTGAATTTAAATTCTCATAACTTGATGAATATGCATGATAAAATTATGAAATTTTGAGGACATGTCTAATTACAAGTTGAGATTATGACTGTTAAGTTTCATAATTTAAAGATGAGAAATGAATAAGTTATGAATATAAGAAGGCATATATGTAAAGATAAGTATATATGCAAGAATATTCATGAAATGTTTAAGTTGTTAAAATGAGATGATCATGAATAATTCTCATTTAAGTGATGAGTAATTTGATGATGTTTTGGTGTAATATGTTGAGTATACAATTTTATAAAGATTGTATTATGTATGATATATTAACATCATGATTAAATGTTATGAGTAAAAGATGATATGGTTTGAGATTATTTTCACTTTCAAGTTAATTAAGTGAAAATTTAGTATATGCCAATTTGGAGATATGATGAATGATGAATTAAGTATTTGATTGAGTAAAAGATCAAATTAAGTTAAGATAAGTTTATAAATCATGTTGATAATGTTGGTAAAAGTAAGCATATTTTAAGTTTAAATGAAGTATAATGTGAAATATAGTTATTTTCACATTTGAGTTATGACATGCTAAGTATAATACCATATTAATGTTTATGAAGACATGATTTATACAAGGTTAAGTAATTGACCTTAAGTATAAATAAAAAGAGAAGTTAAGTATAAACTTGAGAAAAAGCAAGTTTAATGAATTTCTATAAGATTTGGATAAGTTAAAAATCCTAAAAATCTTATTGAGTATATGAGCATAGTACTTAGTATATTTGTCTATATTTGATGTAACTTGCAGATACAGTACCAGTACAGCACTTATCGTTTTTCAAATGATTTCAAAGACAAAAAGGTGGGGACCCTGAATGGGTATCACGTTGAGTACGATATTGATGTCATATGGGATGAGGAGACCATCAGTTGTCTCAGAGTATATCCTAAAGTTTAAGTTTATTACGCTTGGGATGAGGAGGCATTAATTCGTTCTCAGAGATTATATCCTAAGTTCTGATGGAGGCCGTTAGGTGCCTTAGAAATATCCATCAGAGTGTGCACACGTATCCGATTAACTATGGGCAAGATAAGAGAAAAGTTTAAGTTACCGATCAGATATCGGTTTATGATTATCCATTTTCGTTACTCACCCCCATGAGTTTTAGTTTCAGGTAACAGGTTGAAGAGGAGGTGTGAGTGGAGCAGTGTTGGTGTTGATAGTGGACTCAGATGAAGACAAGCTTTGATACGGACATTTATAACAGTCTGTATAATTAACCACGTTTTCAAGTATTTCCGCTATGCACATTAAGTATTGAACTTGCATTTTAATGAATTTCATATTTCAAGTTTTTACCATTATGAGAAATATGATTATGGTATTTTAAATACAAGTTTAAAGGAAATCTGTTTTAATTATGTATAAAGAAGTATTAGACAAAAGTTTAAAGATAAATGGATTTTCAAGATGATGAGTTTGAGTAGCATCCCGAGTTAGTCCCAAAAGATTTCGAAAGAATTAAGTATATTCGAAGTAAAAGTTGCGAAAAATTTACTCTGATAAGCGGGGTGTTACAGTTTGAGCCAAGACAGTGATCATCGAGGACATCCGTTGCCGAGCCCAGAAGACGACGAAGGAAGCTGAAGGTTCGAAAAAAACTAAGTCCAGAACTTTTCACGACTCGCGACAATGTCGCGGCCCGCGAGATTTTCAGAGCCTAAAAGTGCAATCCGCGAGTTCGAGTCGCGACTTGCGAGATGAAGTCGCGACTCGCGAAAGATGTCGCGACCAACCCCAGATTTTGAAGAAAGTGGTGCCGCGCGACTCGCAACCCGAGGAAAAAGAGAAGTCGTGACTTGCGACTTAGCGACGCGAAAATCGAGAAGCGGGATTTAACATCAGATTTCGGACCTAGGGCATTCTATTCAACTCCAGACTTTATTTTTACGCTTTTCCTCTCTAGAAAACACATTCCTTTCATTACTTTTCACTTTTGATTCGATTTGGAGATTGAAAAACTCCTTTTTCTCGCTTTGGATTTGGATGCACTTGGATTTTACATTGGAATTCCTATATTAATCGTAAGTTCGTTTTCTCAATTGTTTATTGATGATGATGGCTTGGGTTGATCTGAATTGTGATGTTGATTTCGTTATGAGTAGCTAAATCCATTCGTTAGGGATAGGGGATAATGATTAGGTTCGTTTATGATTGCATGCTTTTGATTGGTCATATCTATGCGAGTTGTGTGAATTATAGGGTTAGCTGATTGGTCACCATTCTAACCTAGTTAATCAGCGTGTAGAACCGAGAGGGGAGACGTTGGTCGATTTAGGCTCGTTTAAAATAGACTTGTTCGTCATAGTATTGTCTATGTGTTGTTGGAATTGATAGTTGATCGTTTACATTCACTCTCTTTTTATGAAGAGTTATTGAGAGTGAACCTCTGGACAACAAACGATTCAAGTCCTTTAACAGAGCAATTTATTGCCAGTAATTGTGTTAGAACCGAAAGTAATTATCCCCGATTCCCTAGCTCTTTAATCATTGAGTGAACTCGTTTGCTATTGAAATTTCATTTTATTTAGTTTAAAGTCATTAGTTAATTATTAAAACCCAAAACTATTGAATTAGAGTGTTTAGGAATTTGTCTTCTCTTTTTCGTGATTGGATAATCATACAGTTATATCCGGCTAACCTTCCTTGCGATACGACCCGGGGAACGAATCTTTTGATTCTACTCCGGTAAAATACTTACAGCAATGCGTCCTGAGCCATTGGAGGAGAAAGAACTTCGGGTCATAGGCGAACCCAGTGAAGGGAGAAACGTGTTAGCTGAGGAGTCGAGCCTCTTGGCTACCGGCCGATTGTAGCGTTCTTTTCGTGTATCCGAACAAGTGGGTGTTATCAAATTACTATGCCATAATTATTTATAATTGCTAGGTTTTATGATCAATGTATGTATGTGAACCACGACCCTATTGTTGGATGCGGATTGGACCATCAGTATGGTATCCCCGTCGACTGAAGCGGGTTCGACCGTCGACGGTGCCTAGTGTAGCGCCCCTTTCGTTTTATATGATATTCCCTTAATTGCTATTTTATTTGTTGTATTTATTTTATTATTGCTTTTACATCATTATATTTACTAGTATGTGGCCAGTGCGATGCACGGGTAAATAATATTAAATGATAATTATAAATTGAAGATATAGGTAAATAATATGTATTCCTTTAGGATTTTGAGTGCCACTTTGAGATTTTTTAAGATTTGAGACTTTTAAGATGGTCAAAAATTTTAGAGGAATACTATGAAATCTTAAGTGTGAATGTGAGATTTTTAGAGTGAAATTTTGTATAATGTTTTTTTCTTTTAAATCATAACTAACCTTAAAAAGACCTAACAAACTTGATCTCAAATAAGTTAAACATTTAAGGATATTTTAAGATTTTTTTTAATTTTTAAATATCGAAGATGAACCGCTTTTGTTACCAAAAAATGTGGACACAATTTTGAATGTACATCCCGTCCAAATATCAGTTTTATTCTAAAATAAAAATTGCACGTGGTTTTATCCAATTTACACACTTTTTTTTGAAAGAAAAAATTATTCAATAAGATTGGAAGAATTGGTTAAGAATTATACAACTATTTGTTTCCAAAATTTGTATCCAATTTGTATGGTTTTTAAGTTAATTTGTATTTAGAATTGTTTTCATAAATAATTGACACATTTTTGGCATAAGAATATCCAAACTTCAAACTTGTTACCAAAAAATATATGATTTAAATTTTGGTAAAAAATAAAATAAAATATGATACGAAAAAAATGGGATTCAAATTTTGCCAAAAAGAAGGATTCAGATTTTGTTACTAAAGATTCACATATATTTTTTTGAACTTTCCATTAATAGTAAGTCAAGCATTATATTTATTTGGTCAAACTTTCTATTAATGTATTTTTCCAACAACCTCTTTATATATATATATATATATATAGATTTGCTTGCTCGATTTTGCCTTGTAGGATTTAACTGCCTTATTCTTGTGATATAATCTGAATGATTATATTTTTATTGTTAGGTGATGGAAACTATTTTTATTTTTATGTCTTAGCCTCGGTATAGTTAGTTTTAACTATTCGTGAGATCGTTCATCAATTTTCGGTTCAATCGCGTAGAATTAGGTTCGATCCATTTTGACCCATCCTTGTTGAATCGCGTCATATTCTTTGAAGTCTTTTTCCGATCGAGCTTTGAGTTTGATACTCGACCCAAATTATTTGGACATTTTCGGTCCTTTCGGATAAATTCATTCGGCCCGATTTATTGAGAAATTGTTTTTCGACCCTTTTTGTACTATTAAATTCGGCCCCTTTAAGTGTATTATCGGCCTTGTATGTAAATTTTATTTCAGCCCGAATTTTATTATTTTTCTAGCCCATCTTAGTCGAGTATTTTCGGCCCTCTATACTATTCTTCTCGGCCCAATCGAGCATTAAGTAAACCAGCCGAAATGTATAATTTTTTTCAGCCCAAATGACCCATTTCCAATAGCCCAACAGAGTTTGTTAAATACTCACGCACGCAAACCCTCCAACTCGTTTTTCCCGTTCGTTCAACTCTCTCTCGCAAATTCGCAGCAACGGGAGATTGTCTCCCTAATCGCCCACCGGAATCGCCCTCATCTCCTCCGGCTTCCAGCCACTGCGCGCTGAGCCGCCGGCTTTCACAGTCGCGACCAATTAGCGATCTCCGGCGACGAGAACACCAAAGAGCACGCTTCAACCACCGCCGTCCGCTCCGTCACAGGCTTGCAACCACCTCGGACAGCAACCGCAAGCCAAGGCGAGTCACCGTTCGCGTCTGTTCAGCCGCCACGAGCCGTGATCTTGTACCGTGCTGATACGAACCGTCCAAGGTCTACTGTGCACGCACCGGGCAGCGGAGACGAGCCGATGAGCACCGACGAGCCGTCCGTGGTCCGTACGCGAGTGGCCGAGGTCCGCTTTGTTACATGTAATTTCCCAACGAGAGGTGAATTTCGTAAATCCCCTCTTGTTAATTCGTGAGTTTAGATCCTGGTTATGTGAAGTTTGGATCTTTATAAGTTGAGGTTAATTGTTTGTGTGATTAATTGTTGAATATCTGAGTTTGTGTTCATCTGTAAGAGCCCTCTGTTGTGCTTAAATTTCAGTGGTTAAGTGGCTTCTTGACATGCTAAGTCGAGGTTCTTGTGTGAGGGAAATTCTATAAGCATGTTGCATTGACTCTGGCTTTGTTCTTGTTAAATGTTCAAACCTTTGGATTGAGGAGAGTACATGCCGAAAGTATGGGACGATGATACTCTCATATTGATTGTTGTCCTATACAGTTTGTTGTTGAGCAATATGTGCCTAAGGTTATATTTGTGCGGTTTGTTGGGGTGTTGAGGAGTAATGTGCCTACATATTTATTTATTGGAGTATGAAGAAATTTTGCTTATAATGGATANAATAAGAGGTGCTTGGATTATATGCTCTTTGTGCCTTGTTTCTGTGTATTAATTTGAGGTTGTTGGCAGGAGCTTATGTGTTGAAATCATATGCTATTAAACTGTTTATGTTTAGATTTGTTAGCCTTATTCAGATGTTAAAAAGGGGTTTAAGCATAGAGTTGTTAAAACCGAGTTTTGCCTTGCTTATGTATGTTGGCGGCTGAGATAATGCAAATTCCCATGCTTCATTGTTGATAAATTTTAGTACTGAGTTGTGTTAGAAGTGTTAAATTGCAGCCCTAGAATTATTTGCATGACTGGTTAAATTTAAGGTAAAAAGAGAGTTATGTGCTTTGTTTGTGCTTACCTGTCTTATTTGCCTTATATTTCTTGTTTATGTTGTTTTACTTACTTGAGTGACCTAATCAACTCAATCAAACCCTTAATAATAATTAAATCTTGTATATTGATTAATTTTTCAGCAAATTTCCTACTAAAAAACAGTCATCAAATAACCTAAATAAATCTGCTCACTTTATATCATATATTGATTAATTTATTTCCTATAGAAACAACCATCAATACCAAAAATAAATCCGTACACATTATACTATGTATTAATTAATTTATATGATTTGAGTAATTAAGGTATCCTAAAATATGAATTAATTACTTCCTTAAATAATGAGCCGCAATTTCCATAAATGATCATTTAATATATACCAAATATATTCCATAAATTGTTAAATTAATTTCCAGAAATAGTAAATAGATTTTTTTTAGGGAAATAGTTACTATTTGAAAAATAATCAAATATATGGACTAATTACTTCCTTAAATAATGGGCTGCAATTTATAAATGATCATTTAATATAGTAAATAGATTTTTTTTTTGGAGGAAAATAGTTGTTATTTAAAAAATAATCAAAACCTTTATATATATATATATAGATGGGTGACCAAAATTCAGAAAACGTACACAATTTTCGCACCTCCAAGTTAAGGTCAACTGTGTGCTCCACCGCCTGAGGTGCACCCTTCGGTTTTTAACTATGTCTTTAAAAATGTACTTCTTTTCTTGAATGTTATATACATTTGGATTTCCTTTTGGGGGTCTTCAGTTATGTTTTTGTTATCGAGGAATCTCACTTTACCACATAAATTGTTATTCTATGGTTTCTTCTGGCGAATGAAAGTTTCAGAACTTTGCGTTCTTCATTAGTAGTGAATCACTGTGTTAATTTATGTTTTATTAGTCATTTAGGAGGAAAAAAGAATTACAGCATATTTAAAGTTTTATGTGAAATACCACAAGGTGTTCGATGAAAATTCTTAACAGATAATATAAGTATGTTTGGTCATTTTTACTTCCCCTGTTTTATTTTTACTAGTGTAGAGCCCGTGCGATGCACGGGGTATACAAGTTTAAGGCTATTTATCCAGACTTATAATTCTTATATACATGAATAAAGAAAAATGTACGGGATATATATGGTACGTGACCAGTGCGAGGCACGGGATATATTTATTTGGGGAATATTATATTATAAGATGCAATATTAAATAAAAATTTTATAATACGTAGGAAAATTATACAATAAGATAGTATTGGACAAATAAACAATCATTTATTATTAAAAACCTCCTTGTACACAACATTATGAGTTTGATTATTGGACAACTCTTCATTCTCACAAACTAATATCTTCAACCCTCTTCTATTAGTTATACGCGAAACAACAACATATAATTGGTCATGACTAAAGACATGTTTCTTTAGAAAAAAACCAACGTGCGATAAAGACTGTCCCTGACTCTTGTTTATGGTCATGGCATACGAAACCATAAGTGGGAATTGCCGCCGCTGGAACTTAAATGGAACCCTAAAATCAGAAGGAGTAATATTCATTCTAGGAATAGGATTTTAAGAACAACTTAAATTTTATATAACATTTTCAAAAAATTAATATATGTAAATTGTTTTGCATATTAATTCTAATTTTAATTTATAAATATTATTTAATGCACAATTTTAATTACCATGCATGTCGCTACATTCTAGTAATATTCAACATCTGTTAAGATTTTTAAGAAAAAATTTTGATATACGGAAATCACATTATATGTAGAGGAACAAATCAGAAGATTTTTCATACAATTAGATAAGATTTTTTGTACAAAGATAGGAATGAACTTTAAATCTACACAAACTATAAATATTAGATGTATTGATTTACATAAATTAATATCTATATAGGAAAAAACAATTAAATAAAAATTAATTGATGAAAATAGAATGCATTAATTACCTTTGACTTTTCTTCCTACTAATTCTATTAAATGGAATGGCTCTTTGTATAAGTATAGATATATACTACTAATTATAGTAAATGGAATGACTCTTTATATAAGTACTAGTACAGTCCCCGTGCGATGCACGGGGGTTTATTATTTCCGTCCCTTTTATAAATGGATGTTCAGTTAAAATTCAAAGTACTTACTAAAGGAAATATTATGCCATTAATAATAAATAAATTAATAAATACAATAATAATAAAATCTATATATTATTGAACACTTCCTTATATACAACGTGCATGGTTTGATTCTTTGGCACGTCATCGTCGCCACAAATTAGGACTTTCAAACCCGTTTCTGTTTGTGACACGGGAGACACCAACATACAATTGACCATGACTAAACACTGGTTTCTTAAGAAATAAGCCCACATGCGATAATGATTGTTCCTGGCTCTTATTTGTAGTCATGGCGTAAGAAAACATAATGGGAAACAATCAATCCAATAACATCTACAAAAATATAAGAAAATGCATCATATTGAAATGTATAACATATAAAATAGTTTATTACAGAATTTAAATTAAAAAAAAATCGAAATAAGAAATAAACAAAAAAATTATAACGTACCAAATAACATGACTTCATCAATGTTACGAAGATCCATTAAAGTTAGAAATAGGAAAATCACCCCTCCATTTGATAAATCGCCCCTCCATTTGATAATCTTGGTTTGACCATTGATAATTATCCTCCTTTTTCCTATCGTCGATTTATGGATACCAATATTGTTTTCCACTTGATAATTTGTCAAGATATAAGCGTCACCTTCTTCAATATCACCGATGATTTTTTGGATATTGACAGGTCGAATTATGACAGTAATTCGACCTCCCTAAAACATTGCATAATGAATAATTCAATAAATAAATTATAAAAGATGTTGCATAAATGATGCATTTAAATAATACTAAAAGAATATATTACCTCAAAATCATGAAAGATAATCTCAAGAACATTTCGGTAATTGCGTACGCCTTCAACTCGTTGGAACATCCTAATTATGCGTAGCTTGATTGGTGGCTTATTGGATCTTTTGATATCCTTGATGACTCCAAAATCCGAAGCCATTTTCAATGGTGATGTAAAAGCTTGTAGAAAAAATTGTTTTGTGGGATATATTGGATGTCGAATACTTTTTGTTCAACGTTGGTGATGTTTATATAGCCATGTGTATGTGTCATATGTCTGGGAAATAAAAAAAATATTTACGTAAGGTATTTAATATGATCTGATCCAATTTTTTTTATTATAATTATGATTGACTTCTAAAAATATGTGGTATCGGTTTTGTTGAAAAAAAAATGTGGAACGTGATTCACTTGTGAGGGACGAACGAATATTTAGAAGGTTATGTAGCAAAAAATAATGGAGTTTGTTACAACGAAATTTAGTAAAACTTTTTGAATAGATTGAAAAATAATATTTTTATTTTGATATTTCCCTATTTATTTGGGCAAATCCAAAACTTTAATTTACGAAATTATAATCTTTAATTTGTTGAAACGTGTAAAATTTTCTATGATAACTTCTATAAAACAAAAGTGATCAAATCATAATTGATTTTTATGCCTCAATATTCCAAATCAAACCTTACAAATATGGTATGATTATTTACTAATATTTTATTTTTCAAACGTCTGATTCTCTTAGGTTTATATGAAACAAAGTTCAATCAGATAAAAATTAATTTTTATGCCCACACTAAAACTTTATCAATATGATATATTTATTTTATTTATTTATTTTTTTCAAATCCACAACTCAAATTTTCGAGAGAGAGAAAAAAAAGAAAACAAAAATTTTATCAAACCTTATCAAATTTTCGAGAGAAGAAAAAAAACAAAAAAAATTGGAAACAAAATCTTATCAAACCTTATCAATAATGAGATACGTGTTTCCATGAAAAGCTAACAAAATCTCGTGGTTACCAAAATCCTATCAAATTAGTTAACAAAATCCCATTAAATTGGTTAACAATATTGGAACCTATTTTGTTAGGAAAGATTTACGTAAATTATCTATCTAATTAATATCATATTAACGTGTGGGCCCAGTGATATTAATTTAGTATACATTCCATTATCTCGAAATAATTTTTTGTTTGATTTACAACATTAATTTGAATGGAAAAAAAATTCGTAATTGTTGAGATATCTCAATTCAAAATCTCAATTTTTTGGCATAATAATCTTCAAATTTGTTACCAATAAAAATAGATTCTTGTGGGATTAATATTTAAAATGAATTAAATTTTGGTATAAGAATTCCAAATTTGTTACCATAAGAATCTTCAATTTGTTACCATAAGAAACTCATAAAAATATCCTATGGATTGGAATTTATCAATATTTAGTATAGCATCCATTATTCAAGGAATAATTTTTTGTTTGATTTGCAACATGAGTTTGAAGGGGAAAAAATTCGAAATTGTTAAGATATCTCAATTCAAAATCTCAATTTTTTGTCATAAGAATCTCAAATTTGTTAACATAAGAATCCCATAGAAATCTCCTATGGGATTGGAGTTTATCAATAATTGGTATAACATCCATTATTTTTGGAATAATTTTTTGTTTGATTTACAACATTAATTTGAATAGAAAAAAATCCATAATTGTTGGAATATCTCAATTCAAAATCTCAATTTTTTGGCATAACAATCTTCAAATTTGTTACCAATAAAAGTAGATCCTATGGATTAACATTTAAAATGAATTAAATTTTAGTATAGGAATCTCTCTAAATTTGTTAACATAAAAATCTCCAATTTTTATGATATCTCAATTAAATTTGTTACCATAAAAATCTCCAAATTTGTTACCATAAAAATCTCAATTTTTTTTTGGTACATGTGTTTTTTTTCGAAATTTCCACTAATAGTAAGTCAAACCATTTATTTTTTTAGTCAAACTTACTATAAAAGTATTTTTCCAATAACCTCTTTATATTAAAAGTTTTCATGTAGTGGTTAATAATCCACGCATGTGATAATTTTGTTCACGAGACATTGCTTGATGATCGACAAGAAATTGAATACTAGACTATGTCTTGACGACCGGATTCTGTAGTATCGCGATCTGTTTCACATTTCTGAAATAGTAAAACAAAAAACTGCCGTCGAATGGTGTATCCTTCTCAAGTTACGTATCTTAAAACTTTATAGTACCGAGTCCATGGTGAATTAGTTTGAACTATACTTTTGTAATATTAGAAACTACATCATCCCCCGGCAGTTACATAGAAGATGCAAGAGTGAATATATGTCAACATATCAAGTTACCAACTTGTGCTGTCCACATCCTTCTAAGGCTAGCATGGAATTTTGTCTTTATGATTTTCTTCCAAATCATCATGATCTACAGGAATCGTTTTTCTTGGATAAACACCCTAATAATGAAACGGAACATTTTATTTATAGGTTGAGTGATGGGCCAAGTGGAGAGTGTGGCAATGACTGAAAATCAGAGCAGTGAGAATTCTTCACTCGATTCGTTAATGGCTGAGTATGGGGATGAGAAGGCCTTGGATTGCCCGTGCGTAGCCCACTTGAAGAGCGGGCCGTGTGGGGCCCAATTTTCGGAGGCCTTTGTGTGTTTTCTCAAGAGCACGGCCGAGGAGAAAGGGTCCGACTGCGTGCACCCTTTCGTGGCCCTGCAGAACTGTATCAAGGCCAATCCTGATGCATTTTCTAAAGATGTTGTGGAGGATGATGAAGTTAAGGAGAAAGCGGAGCCACACTACAAACTCCGTCCCCCATTGTGGTCCGTGGAAACCATATCTCCCAAGGAATAATAGCCTTTCGTTTGACTTGAGCAGAATCGTAGTACAATAGACATCGTTTTCATAATTCTCATTTTCTGTTTTCAATGATTCACTGTTTTGTTGTCTTTTATTTAAAATTTTTTGCAATAAATTAAAATTATATCGAGACAAATGAGCGAAGTTGCTGGATCGAAAATCAAGACCAGAGGAAGAGGCCACTACAATTCATATACTGGATATGTAATGTATTGAATTTGTTATAATTAAACATTGATGCCGAAACATTATCAGTACATGGAAGGAATCAGCAGAAAGTTTTGTTTTTCTAATGCTTGTCTAATAATAAATGCCAACAGAACCTGTTCTTATAGCAAACAATAAAAACTCCCAACACATACAACTCAAACTTTGAAAGAAAAAAATGAAAGGGCGGCGATTTGGAAATTGGACTTATCTAAAGGCATGGACTAGTTAGTTGTTATCGAAGAGAGATTTGGAAATGAACTTATGTTGATGCATGGTCTATTTGGTTGTTATAGAAAAGGGTCAAATTTTGGAGAGTTACAATTATATCACAAATGTAGGTGATATGGTAGTGTAAACGACCTCAACCGACTCGAACGACCTGAATCCGCTCTCAATCAGTTAAAAGTCAAGCAAAACAAAGCCATGAGTTGTCCCGGCGTAGAAACTTCGACGCTCAAGTCAGTGAACAGTGATAAAGAAAACGATGGACAATAAGAACTGTGTATATTATATAAGTATATTAAATTGTGTGTAAGTAATCATACCTCACTCCCTTTATAAGGAGTGTTACCTTATTGCCTAAGACTTCCCCCGAATGAGCTGCCCGATTGCTCGAGCTACCTATTCGTATTGCCCGTGTGCCCATACTGCCCAATTTTGCTTTGCCACATGGTTCTATCCACGCGTGGTTCTTATCTTAATAATATTTCTTCTTATATATTATGTGGTGTGCTTACAATCACATTAGTCAACCTCATCAGGTGGTCAAATGTGTTAGCATCTCGGATTCCCCTGAACCAGGTTGCTCCGACCTTCCCCTTCAAGGTCTATCTCATTAGGTCGTACATCGACTTGCAGGCCTCCAGGTCGAGTTTTCAACAGGCTAGCCAAAAGCCCTAGCTCGACCTATTGGTAAACTCTATTTTCTATAAGTTCATCTTCGACCAAGTGATTCCCCGACCTCCGTTGTCCTTAATGTCAAGTAGACCTACTGGTTCGCTCATGCCTGTCAGACCGTCCTTTAGGTCGTACTTGACTTGGTATGGTATTCCATTGACCAGCTACAACTGGTCAAATAGAAATAACTCGATCTAAGAGTAGAATAAATTGCTCTTGGTTATATTCATTGAGCTCGCAAACTCTTTGACCGATCTATCTGCTCGACGTTTCTTTCCTTCTATCCGAAACAATTCTCTCGGCCTAAGTCCAAGTTCTCAAGTACAAAATTTGAATTTCAAATTCCTGACTTTGTGTAAGGTCAGACTGACGTCCTTTTAAATTAGTTGATAACTTTCCATAATGATGTAACCGCTTAGAACTTTGTCCATTCCTAAGTCAACTTGTCAATTAATGATGCTTTCTCACCATCCATATGTTGGTGTATACTGAAAGCTCAACTTTTTGTTAACACTAATCGGTTTGAATGAGAATCACGATTAATTAAACAGTTATATGTTTGATGATTTATATTGGGATAATATGGTTCATCGCGGTTGAATAGAAGATCATATTATTGGTTACATGTAAAACATTAATTTTAAGTTCAAAACCTAGATGGAAATGAACAACCCATCGTGAACGGTTGTAGTGTTAACTGTACATTTTATCTTAACAGATTCGTTGTACTAGTCCGCTTAGTGTGTGTTGAATGGAACTCGTGGAGGATCAGTTTGTTTTATACTGATCAAGTAAATTAAATGGATCTCGGTTAATTACCATGCATTCTTAACCCGTAAGATATAAACAGATACGTGCATACATTGGCTACTACTTTGATTCACCAAAAAGTGAGATCCTTTCAGTTGGATCAATAGTCTGACGTGTTTTGGGTAGTAGTGTTGTGTGTATGATGTATTGTTCGAATATTTACGGTCACCGTGTGCTATAGTTTGGTGATGTCCCTGAGATGAGCTCAAGAAGGATTATTATCTTAAACTCGGCAGATAGAATATATTCCAACATAATAATAAAGATTTGAGTGGTACTAGTCTCGGTTCAAGAAGTCAATTAATTATAATATGAGTAATCAAATTAATTGACGGACGGTATATCTTAAACATGGGTAGGTAAATTGAGTAATTATTGATGGAGCCTTAAATGTAATTTGGGCGCTAAATGGGAAGTGCAATAATATTTTTTTAGTGGACTGAAATATTATTCAACTTTGAGCATAGTGGACTCGGTCCACTGTTAGGCCCAAACTTGAGAAGCCCATATTGAGTACCTCCTTAGGGTCCCTGTTGTAACCTATTAATACATCATAACTCTTGGGATTTAAGAAGGAGAGTCCTACACATTGTTCACGTTATAGCCGCCCCTCTCTCTCTCTAAGAAATCCCAATTGAGATATCTCTGAGATCGTCACCCACGAAGACGAATGGAGAAGATGTTGGGTCATACAATCGAAGACACAAGGTACACCAAGAAAAATAAATATATATAAATATAACCCTAAAAATGGCTCAAAGCCACCGGCGATCATCCCACGACAAGTGTCGACGTCCCACGAGTTTCGATTAAGTTTTGAGAGCGATCGGCCATGGCGGATGGGCCGCCAATGGCCAGTTGGTTGCAGCCGTGCACAGGCGCTGGCAGTAGCACTTGACCAGGCGCACACTGCAACAAGTTGGTCGCAGTCTCTCGGACATACTCATGCACAGGTAGAGCCTTGCGCAGACGCAGACGCTGCCTCGCGCTGTGGCGTCCAAGGGGTGTGTGCGCATCGCGCAAACATGCAGCATGCTGTTTGTCCCATTTTTGTTGCATTTTTCGTGCTTGTTTTGCTTTTATTTTTCCCCCATTTTTGGTCGTTTCCTAGTTTTTAGTCTGTTTTTATTTTATTATGTGTTTTCCTTCATTTTGAGTCTTTAGGTGTTTTTTCGTTTATTTTCCCGATTTTCTTCGTGTTTTGTTGTTTTTGGTGTGTAGGTTAAGAGCTTCGGGCGAATTTTCTCTTCAGGAAAAATTGGTTTCGAGAGCATAACTGGATAGATGGGTTCATTAGCGACGCATAGGAAAAAACAGAAACCAATTTCGAGTTTGGACAAACCCAAGCTCACAGCAAAGTCGTGACTCGAGAGTGCAAAGTTGATTGTTGAGATTGTTGATTTGAATTCCATATGAGTAGCTAATTCGTTTCGCTTGGGATAGGGGATAATGATGATGTTTAGAATTTAATTGTGATTATCATGCTGGTTGATCGTTCAATTAATACGAGTTGTTCTTAACTAGGTTTTATAATTCTCGTACATTTAATGTTGATTATTGTTGAAGAGTGACACTTTGATTTACAATTGATTTCCAATTGAATATGATTCGTTCTTGTGTGATGTGTTTACCAACGAACTAGTAGATTAACAATCGTCTAGGATAATTTAATCAACTCTTAGAACCGAGAGGGGAGGGGTTGATCGATCTAGGCGCGCATGAAATAGACTTGTTCGGAAACGTATTGTCTATGTGTTGTATGATTTGTTTGATTTACTGTCTATGTTATCCTCTTGTTACGAAGAGTTATTGAGGACTATTTCTAGATGTTAGGTTGTTCGAATTATTTAACCGAATGATCTTAGCTTGATATTTGCATTGGTTAGAAAATCATCATGCTCGACTCCTTAGCTTCTTATCACCATTTGATCTTCGTCTTTGTTTTTAAGTTTGATTTTACATTGTTTGAATTCTCTTTCATAGTTGATAATTAGAAACCACTATCTTGATTAGAGTGTTTAGGATTTATTTTTCTTTTATGCGTTATCAACACCATTCCTAGATTCCGAACTGCCTTCCTCGAGTGATCGACCCGGGGAACGAATCTTTCGATTCAGTACTCGGTAAAAATATATTTTGCTACAACAAAATTGGCGCCGTTGCCGGGGAAGGCAAGTAGGATATTTAGTTTTGGTGTTGATTTTATTTTCCTGTGTTTCTCTTTATTTTGTGGTTTTTGTGTTTGTGTTCTTTCTTTGCGTCTTTTTTTTTTTTTTTTTTCTCTTTGTTTTTGTTTTTTGTCTTCTTTTCTTCTTTGTGGCTTCGCGTGGTTGTTCTGTTCTTGTGTGCAGGGATTTTGACCGAAGGAATTAATGAACCCGAACAATGCTTTCTCCTTCCCGCACTCTCTTTACTGGAATAATGGGCCGAGCTACATTTATGGGCACTACGACCAACCTTATTTGTATCCTTCTGAGCAGCAATGGAATTTCGCACCGGTTGAGTAGACCTATGAATTTCAGGAGCGTACCTCAGAGCATAATGAGAAGCTTGACCAAATCCTTACCTTTATAACAACTCGAGAAGAAGAGGCCGCATTCAACCAAAAACTTGATCTGATTCTCGATCGGATGATGGCCCAAGAAAATCGAGAAGAGGAGATGGAGCTCAGATGTTCCGGTTTGAGCGAGCAATTGGAGAGTCTAGCAAGGCGCATCGACTTTATCGAGTCACGAGCCGATGAGCCCATGGTTGTGGACCCACATCCGGCACCCATACCTTTCAATGAACTCGAGGATGCTATTCGGGATACAATGCCAAACTTGATCTCATCCTCGATCGTATGATGGCCCAAGCAAACTGAGAAGGAGAGATTGAGCTCGGGTGTGCTCGACCGAGCGCTCAAATGAAGAATCTAACAGCACGTCTCGACTCTATCGAGTCTAAAGTCAATGACCACCATCATATGGTTGGAGCCCAAACGTGTGTTCCGATGCACATGTGTGAGACCGAAGAGGAAGATGATACACTCCAGCGAGACGTTGATGATATTTTAGAGGAGGATATTCATGGACTTGATCAAGAACTCCACTTCACCAATTCTCAAGTCCCTCCTCCCACCACCGAGTTGGAGCATTCACCTTCGGAGCCACTACACTGTGCTACCAAGTGGGCCAGTTTTAGCTCGACTTGCTCCACGGACGCGCTTATAATCCCGGAGGTTGACAACAGAGCTCGAGTGGGAAAGGCTCTTTGTCAGTTCATGGAGATTGCTTGTGCCCATACCTGTTTCATTGAGAACATAGCCACCCGGATCCACCATGTCTGCCTTCTTGCCACACTTCCGATGCTACCACTTCTACAGAATACGAAGGCGTGGCACGATCGTCACTTCTTTCTAAATTCCGATCGAGTTCTGTTGGGTTCGCTATACCGTACGGGGTAAAACGCGGTGGAAATAAAATAAAATAAGTAGGCATTTATCTAATAAATATTAAACCCGTCGGTTCACATAGCGATTGTTACGATCGGCATATTTTAAAATCACATAAAAATACGAGTTTTGATTTGTAGAGAATTTCGAAAATTACCTTTAATTTTCTTCGTAAAGCAACAACGAAGAGGAAATCAATTCCTGGTTATGTGGCTATCACCATCTCGTATGTCTCACCATAAGAGCACCCACAATGCTTTGGGTCTCTTTTTGCATATGTGGCAAATAAATAGACTTAAGTCTATAATGACATAGACAAACCCAAACTAAAAAATCCAAAATATATCCAATGCAAAAAAAAAAAAGTACTAGGTCTAGAATACCTAACAACCAATAAAAATATAATAATAGTAAATGATTGCTATTGTAAGGTTCACACTTGGGTCCAAAATAGATCCAAGAGTGGACTTGGTCTTTTCCTTTTTTTTTTTT